GTGGGTCAGTTCCAACTTGGTGGTAGGTAAAAATCAGCAGTGTAAATTTGGAAATAACCTCTGCCGGCAGAGTGTGAAATACTGGACTGCTAACTGCAAAGGGAATCCCAGAACATGTGATTGTGCTCATTCAAAACCTATACTTGGACCAGGAGCAGTCCTCAAACAGAGCACTGAAACACTGAATGGTTCAAAATCAGGAAAGGAGTGTGTCAGGGATGCATCCTGTCTCCATACCTTTTCATTCTATATGCAGAACAGATCATTCGGGAAGCAGAGCTTTATGAGGAAGAAGGTGGCATCAGGATTGGAAGAAGACTCATCAACAACCTACATATGTAGATGACACAACCTTGCTTGCTGAAACTAAGGAGGACCTGAAGCACTTGCTCCCGAAGGTCAAGGACTTTAGTCTTCAATATGGATTGAAGCTCTACATCAAGAAGACAAAGATTCTCACCACTGGGTAATTGACAGCACCATGATAGATGCAGAAGAGTTTGAGGTTTTAAACAGTTATAGTTTGCTCGGCTCCACAATCAGCACTCTTGACACCAGCAGACAGGAAATCAAAAGAAGAATTGCATTGGGAAAATCTGTCAGGGACCCCTCCAGAGTACTGAAATGCAGTGATGTCATTCTAGAGTCTAAGGTGCGCCTGATCCAGTTATTTGCTATGCATCAGAGATCTGGACATTGACTAAGGATGACAGAAAAGAATCAACACCTTTGAATTGCGGTGCTGGAGAAGCATCTTGAACTACTATGGACTGCCAAGAAAACAAAGAGGTCTGTCTTGGAGAAGGTGAAACCAGGTTTCTTCTTGGAGGCTAGGATTTTGAAACTCCATCTCACATACTTTGTGCATGTGGCCAGAAGAGACCGGTCCTTGGGGAGGGGTGGAGGAACAACGCAGGAGAGGAAGATCCGGGATGGGATGGATTGACAAAGTGACAGGGGGAATGGGGTAGGTGTGTCGGAATCAGTGAGACTGGTTCAGGACAGGATAGGGTTCAGAGCTGCTGTACCTAGGGTTGCTATGGTCACAGGCAACTCAGCAGCACATAACAGCAACAACCACAAAGGAACTCTGGTGGCCTACAGGAAAGGAGCTGCACTGCAATCTCAAAAGCACGTGGTTCAGATGCACCAGCTGCTCTGTAGAAGGAGGGGCACTCTCCTCCCAAGTGATTTACAGTCTCTGAAATCCCACTGGAGTGTCAGCTGTCAGTCAGTCCCAACTCGACAGTGTATAAAGACAACAATAACAACCACCAAAAGGTCAGCAGCTGAAACATGCCAGCCACTCCTTGTGAGAAGAATGAGACAGTCTGCTCTCATAACTAACTAAAAATTGATTCAGCGGCCTTGGAGTTTTGGAAATAAATATTGTTGTTATGTGCCATTAAGTCAGCTACCCCTCTCAGGTGCCATCTGCACCAGCTCTAATGTCTTTCAAGCCCATTGTTACAAGTCACTGTGTCAGTCCATTTGATTGAGGGTCTTCCTCTCTTGCTGACAAGCAACCTTTCCAAGCATATCCTTTTCCAAGGACTGGCCCTGCCCAAATACAGGAGACAAAACTTCCCTCTTCTTGCTTCTAAAGATCAATGGTTGCACTTTGCCTAACATATACTTGTTCTTTTGTCAGTTCCATGGGATTTTCAGTACTCTTTTTTCCAAAAGCACAACTCAAAGGCACTGATTGTTTTTTTTACTATCCAGCTTTCAGATGCATAGCAAGTAATTGAAAAGGCCATGGCCTGAATCAGGCTCACTTTAGTCTTTAAACTGATAACACTGCTTCATAGTACTATGGAGAAGTTTTTGGCACCAGACTTTCCCAATTCAGTAAATCTTGATTTCCTGTCTGCTGGTACCAAGGGTGTTGATTGTGAGTCCACATAAGATGGAATCATTGAGCTTCAGTCTTTTCTCCATCTAGCATGATGATGCCTAGTGGTGAGGATTCCCCCCCCCTTCATGTTGGGATATAATCCATATGGCAGGCTCTAGTCCTCTGCTGCAAGCATTTTAAGTCCTCCTCACTTTCATCAAGCAAGGTGTTGTCATCTGCAAAATGCACATTATTGAGGAGCCTTCCTCGAATCCTGATAGCCACATTCTTCCTCACATAATTCAACTCTTGGAATGTTTTGTTGAGTATACAGATCAGAGGAGTGTAGAAAAAATATACATTCCTGATGTATACCTTTCTTGATTTTAAACCATTCCGTGTTCCCTTGTTGTAAATCTAGAGCTTTGTAATTAACAAATTGATTTGGATGGGAGTGAACTGGGGGGAGTGCATAAATGGGCTAAACTATGTAACACAACTCTATAGTCTAGACAAAAGTACTAAGACGTTTAACTATCTAGTTTCCAACACTTCTTATTTCCGTTGTTGTTAGGTGCCATTGAGTTCACTATAACTCCTAGCCACCCTAAAATCTCTGTCATGCTCAAGCCCATTTTTGCAGTCACTGTGTCTCCATCTCCTGAAAGGTCTTCCTCTCCTTCGCTGACCTTCTTGACGTCCTTTATCAAAGACTGACCCTTCCACACCCAAGATATGTGACACACAGTTTCACCATCCTTTCAGGAGCATTTTCCCCTACTGTATTGGCCTGCATATTGCTGTGATGGTGGACGTTATGCCATCAGTATTTCAAATACTGGGAAGATCACTCATGAAGTACATGGTTCAGTGGAGTTTACAGATTAAGAAGCAGGACTGGTCATCCATTTCTGATATCACACTTGTCTTACAGCTCTTTTGTTTACAAAGGAGGACTCCATGATGTCCCTTAAAGTCAACAGATGGTGCCACTTTATGACATGTACTCTGGACAGGTTGTCACATGGTACCAGAAAAATACACTATGGTGGGAAAAGGAGAGGGTCAGTGAAAGAGAGGAAGACTTTGTAGATAAATTGACACAGTGACTGTACCAATGGACTCAAGCATGGTGAAGGTCATGAGGATGACACAGGTTGGGGCAGGCTCTGGATCCATTGTTTGTAGAGTCGCTATAAGTCGTAGTTGTCTCGACAGCACACAACAACTCCGTTTTACCAAGTGTAATATCCAGGGATTGGCCCCCCTGATGACATGCCTAAAGTGTGCTCAACTTATGCTGTCACTTTGACAGTGACAAATCTTGTCGAGTAGTTAGTTCAGAGTATTAGTTCTCTTGAGCAGTATTTAAGTATCAAAATAAGAATTTGTCGAACACTATACTATATAAATAAAAACTTCACCCACAGTTGTGTTTCATGACTTTAGAGTTGTTTTCTGTATGCTAGAGGCAGATCTGATCTGTTGTTGTTGTTATGTGCCATCAAGTCATCTGCGACTCATAGCAACCCTATGTACAACAGCTCTGAACTCTGTTCTATCCTGTACTAATCTCATTGTCTCCAACACAACCACCCCCATTACCCCAGTCACTGAGTCAATCCATCTCATCAAGGATTTTCCTCTCTTGTGCTGTCTCTCCACTCTCCCAAGCATGACATCCCTCTCCAAAGATGGGTTCCTCCTTTCAACATGTCCAAAGTATGTCACACATAGCTTCAGAATCTTTGCCTCCAAGGAGCAGCCTGGTTTCATTCCCTCCAGGATGAACCTATTTGTTCTCTTACCAGTCCATGGTATATTCAGTACTCCTTCTCCAGCACCACAACTTAAAGGCATCAATTCTCCTTCTGTCATCCCTAGTCATTGTCCAGCTCTCTGATGCATAGCAAGTGATTGCAAATACTATGACCTGGATCATGTGCACCTTAGTCTCCAGACTGACATCGTTGCTCTTCAGTATTTTGGAGAGGTCTCTGACTTTCCCAGTGCAGTACATCTTTTAATTTCCTGGCTGATTGTGCTGAGAATGTTGACTGTGGAGCCAAGCAAACTAAAGCTGGTAACAGTCTCAGTCTCTTCAACATGTATCATGATGCTGCTAATTGGCCCAGTGGTGAGAATCTTTGTTTTCTTGATACTGAGCTTCAATCCATAATGAAGGCTGCAGTCCTTGACCTGCTGTAGCAAGTGCTTCAGGTCTTCTTCAGTTTCAGCAAGCAGGGTTTTGTCATGTGCAAAGGCAGATTGTTGATGAGTCTTCGTCCAGTATTGATGCCACATTCCTCATAGAGCCCAGCCTCCTGGATAATCTGTTCTGCATACAGATTGAAAAGGTATGGAGATAGGACACCTCCCTGGTGTACAACCTTCTCAATTTTGAATTATATAGTGTTTCCTTGCTCTGTTCTGGCAACTGCCTCCTGGTCCAAGTACAGGATTTGCGTAAGCACAGTCAACTGGGATTCCCATTCTTAGAGTTAACCACAGTTTGTTGTGGTCCACACAGTCACATGCCTTTTGACAGCTGCTTATAAACTCTCAGGAATATGATTTTTGTATTTTATCCTTTCCTTCATCTTTGTATATTACAGCTTGCTTCTTTTTTGAGACACTTATTTTCAAGAGTTGTGACATTCAGAATCTGTAGCCTATTCTGCCTTCCTCCACTTTTCTTAAACAGACTTCTTAGGACTAAGATACTTTTCTAACTTAGTCTGATTTAAGACTCATCTATTTAAATCTCAAATTACTATGAGATTCTTACTCTGCCAGTTTACAACTATAGTTAAAATTTACTGTATTACCTATACTGTTTAGAAAAGGCCTCATAGCTTAAAACAATCATCTTTAAAGAGAAAATGAAAAAGAAATGTTCTTACTGTAAATATTTAATAAATATTTATGCCAAAGTCTAGAATAGAGGACACTTACAAATGTGTTTATAATTTAAAAAGACTATCTACACATACTTGTCCTTTAGAAAAATAACTATAGTCTTTAAAATAATATTTCATGAAAAAATTTCACATTTCTAATAATTGCACATTTTTAGACCCTTTTGCTTTGAGGAACTAGAGACTATTTTATTTATCAGTTTAGCATATTATAACATTCTAATGTTACTGTTTTCTTCCTCTAGGATTCACCAAAAGCCCAGCTACGAAGGACAATAGAATGTTGTCGGACCAATTTATGTAACCAGTATTTGCAACCTACACTGCCCCCTGTTATAGGTAGGTTAGCCCAGGAAAGTGTGAGTGGGATTTTCAGTAAGATTATTTCTGTGGTTTAACAAAAAGCAGGCTGTTCCTGATAAAATACTCAAGTTCTTCTTTCCTTGTTTTGAACTGTAATAGATAATGTGTTACTTCTTTTGTCAGGTCAATTTTTCAGCATCCGGTGGCTGGTTGTGCTCATTTCTATGGCTGTCTGCATTGTTGCTATGATCATCATCTTCAGCTGCTTTTGTTACAAGTAAGATTGATTTGGCAGTGGGAACTGACAGGCCCAATGTGTGGCTTTACTTTAAAACCTGTGAATATTTTCAGAGTCTCTGAAAATCTACAATATTCTCTTCAGAATATTCTAAAAAGCAGTAAAATACTGAAAATGCTTTGTTGAATTTTTATGTCTTTTTGCTATTGTTTTCCTTCAGTCACTTAAACACATTTTGTTTTATAACATTAAATACCATTGTATAATGCCATTGTTTACCATGTCTTACCAAATCCTCACTCTACATTGTCCCCCCTTCACTCTACTCCTGAATCGGCTAATCTCTGCTCCCATTCTATCCCCTCGCATCTCTGTCTTCCTCCACAATCATTTCTGTGGAAAAAAAAACTGTGTATAAAACTTTCTTTAGAGAGGTTTCCCATTTCCCTCTCTCCTCAGTCCAGTCAGTTACGTATGTTCCAGTTATTAATTGCAGTATACACAATATTGGATTATTTCAGATTGACCTTACTTTGTCATTACGTTTCCTAATACTCCATTCTGTGAATGTAACACAGTTTATCCGTCGAAGATATGTGTACGGCTGCCATGTCCTTGCTATTATGAATAATACTGCATTTATTATAGGTGTGCACACATCGAGTGGCATTTTTATTTTCAGTTTTTTAGGATATGTCAGACTGCATTCCATAGTGGTTGTACCATTTTACCTTTTTATCAGCAGTACATGAGAGCTCCAATCTCTCTACATCCTCACCAGCATTTGTTGTTTATTGCCCTGCTGGTACCTCGTTGTTTTGACTTACATCTCTAATAGCTAGTGATCTTGAGCATTCATGTGTTTGTCATCTGAATGCCCTGTTTAGTGAAGAGTCTTTTCATAACTTCTAACCATTTTGTAATTGGGTTGTTTGCTTTTTTCTTGTTGAAGTGTTGGAATATTTTATAAATTTTAAATAGAAGTCCCTTCATTAGAAGATAACTTCTTTATAGAAGATACTTCATTGTGAAATATTTTTTTATCCCAGTCTTTAGGCTTTCTTTTTACCCTTTTTGAGAAGTTTTTGATGCGTCAAAGGATTTAATTCTTTGAGGATCTCATTCATCTCTTTTATCCTCTCCTGTTAAATGTTTTTGGCTATATTGGTTTTTTGGTCTTTTGGGTTTTTTGTTCTTGTTTTTTTTTTTAATTGTAGGGGTTTTTTTGGTGTTTATTTTTAAGAGTGTGTGCATGTGTGTGTGTGTACCATCAAATTGGATCTGACTGGTACAGGAGGAGATTGCCCCTCCTCCAGCAGAGCTTCTGGTGGATTCTAACCACATACCTCTCAGATTGCAATGTAGCTTCTTGCCATTAGGCCACCACAGCTCCCTTATGTTGGTTTTTTTGTAGTTCTTTTTCTCTCTTTTGTAAAATTTTTTTTAATTCTTATACATTATGTTTCATACTTTCCTTCATTGACATTATGTTTCATACAATTTCCATATATTCTATTTTATAAAATTAACCACCATTGAATTGTGCTTACCATTACCCTGTTTTGGGCGATATTTGAAGACCTGTTCATGTCATAAATAACAGCTTCTAAATTTGATCCTATTTGTCCCTGGTCCACCTTGATTTGGTTTTTATGTGTGGTATGGGTTGTGGATCTTTTCCCCATTTTCTAAACATAGACGTTCAGGTTTGCTAGCATCATTTATTAGAGCTTGTATTTTTGCCACTTAATTAGATTTTTGTCTCCTTAACCATAGATAGAAAGGTTCTTTTCTGAGTTTTGCTTTCTATCCCATTAATTCATGTGTCTGCTGCTGTACCAGTACTATTCTGTTTTGAGTATTATGGCTGTGTAGTGGGTTTTGAGATCAGGGACTGTGATGTCTCTTGCTTTGTTTTTCTGTTGCAGTAGAGCTTTGCTTGCTCTGGATCCCATTCCTTTCCAAAAGAAGTTGGAAATGCCTTCTACATTCTCATGAAGAATTACATTGGTATCTATATTGGGATTACATTGACCTGTAGATTTGTTTTGATAGAATTGTTATTTTCACAATATTGAGTTTCCTATCCATGAACATAGTGTTTTCTTCATCTAGGTCTCTCTTTGTTTCTTGTTGTTTGTTGTTATGTGCCATGGAGTCTCCTGCAACCCATAACAACCCTATATACAGCAGCTCTGAAGCCTACCCTGTCTTGAGCCAGTCTCACTTATTCCAACACACCTACCCCCAACTGGGAGTACTATATCAGGCCATCTCATCCAAGGTCTTCCTTTCCTGCACCTTCCCTCCACCCTTCTGAACATGGTGTCCTGCAAGGATTGATTGGGCCCTCCGGGCCACTTGTCCAAAGTATGTGAGATGGAGCTTCAAAATCCTAGCTTCCAAGGAGAAACTTGGTTTCACCCTTTCCAAGACAGACCCATTTGTTTTCTTGGCCGTCATTGCTATGTTCAAGACTTTTCCAGCACCACAATTCAAAGGTATTGATTCTTCTTCTGTCATCCTTAATCATTGTCCAGCTTTCTGATGCATGACAGGTAATTGCGAAGACCATGGCCTGGATTAGACACACTTTAATCTGTAGACTCTAGACTGACATCAGAGCATTTTAGTACTCTAGTGATGTCCTTGACAGCAGATTTTCCCAATGTAGTTCTTCTTTTGATTTCCTGTCTGATGGTGTCAAGAGTGTTGATTGTGGAGCCAAGCAAGTTATAATTGTTAACAACCTCAGTCTCTTCTCCATCTATCATGGTGCTATCAATTGGCCCAATGGTGAGAAACTGTCTTCATGATGTCGAGCTTCAATCCATATTGAAGACTATAGTCCTTAACCTTCGGCAGCAAGCACCTCAGGTCCTCCTCAGTTTCAACAAGCAAGGTTGTCATCTGCATAACGTAGGTTGTTGATGAGTCTTCTTCCAATCCTGATGCCACATTCCTCCTCATAGAGCTCTGCTTCCCAAATGATCTGTTCTGCATATAGATTGAAAAGGTATGGAGACAGGATGCATCCCTGACACACTCCTTTCCTGATTTTGAACCATGCATTGTTTCCCTGCTCTGTTCTGAGGACTACTTCCTGGTCTAAGTTTCACATAAGCACAATCAAGTATTCTGAGATTCCCATTTTCCTCAAGGTTAGCCATCATTTGTTGTGATCTACATAGTCAGATGCCTTTGCATAGTCAATGAAACACAGATATTCCTTCAGTACTCTTTTAGTTGTTGTTATGTGCCGTCAAGTTGACTATGACTCACAGCAACCCTATGAACAGTGACTCTGAACTTTACCCTATCCTGAGCCATCCTCACTATCTCAAACACCTGAACCTATTGCCACAGTTACTGTGTCAGTCCATCTCATCTAGGGTCTTCCTCTCCTACACTGACCCTTCTAAGCATGATTCCCTTCTCCTCATCCTTGGGAATTCCTAACAACATGCCAAAAGTATGTGAGATCATTTCAAAATCTTTGTCTTAGAGCGAGTAAAACCAGGAGCAACCTGGTTTTACCCTCTGGTGCAGACCTGTTTGTTTTCTTGGCAGTCAATATTACTCTCCAGGACCACAACTCAAAGGTAGTGATTTTTCTGTCATACTTTGTCAGTGTCCAACTCTCAGATGCATAGGAAGCATCTGATAAAACTATGGCTTGGATCAGGTGTACCTTAGTCTTTTTTTTTCTCATTATTAAATAATTTGTTTATTGTATTGCATTTATAAAGAAAACAGACAATGTAGAAAGAATAAAAATACTCCAGGATGTATTTTTTACTGAGGGAAATACAAATCCTTTAGTGAGATCAAGGTAATTTGTAATTACAGTGATTAAGCTCAATAAAGGTATGCAGGTAGATCAGGTTCTATAGCTGTTTCTTTGCATGCTCTCTAAATTCATCTAACTCCTTAAATGATAGGAGGAGGAGAGCCCTTACATGGTACAGAAACATTTCTAAAATGAAGTTAGGGGTATTACACTCATTAAAATTTCCTTTTTTTGTCAATTGTTTGTTAAAAAATAGGACCTTCTGGTTATTTTATCCTGATATCACCAGAATTCTTGTGATTTTACAGTGCAGAATTAGATTCTTGTATGCTGTTACTTTAGATGAAGATACATCCGAAAACTCAAGGCAGATTAGGATTGCTGAAGAATTTCCCTGCCGTTGTTTGATGCAGTCTAGTCTCTTGATAGGTACATAGACTCCTTGATTTAAAATTCTTTATACAGGAACATGTGTGATATTATGAGTACCCAATCTAGGATCCAGTGCCTGGCCACAGTTACTCAGTGTACTAAGTTTATGAGTTAGAAGGATTACATAATTGCACCACTTTTTCCCTTTGTCATTTTTGGTGACTACATAAACAAAAACTTGATTCCAAACTCCCAAGTAGAAAATTGACTGTTCAACAGTCTTCCTGGGAACTTTGCTAGTAGAGTCCCAAGAGCACCTCCTTGGCTTTCTGTAAATTAGAGTCTCATAGCCATTGCCAGAGATGCTGTAATTCCTGAGGTCTACTTGGTTCATGCTGAACAAACAGAACAAGAGGCTATGACCCCAATCCACTTTTGCTTTTCAAATATCCAACAAATATATAATGCCAAGAGCAAGTCTAGGAGTCAGGATCATCAAATAAAATTTACAAAGCTTTTCTGATTTTTTTGTAAAAAAAAAAAAAACAAAAAACTTCAAGCACATCTGATTCATCTCCAAAATTGAGGTTAAAACTTACATCATACAAGGAAATAGCGGCAGAGAATGGCTGATCTTAAAAACTAACTCCCTCCTCCAAAGTACTGTTCCACCCACCCTTCCCCTTATTCCTTCATCCAAGGGTTTCATTTAAGACCCCAAGCCTCTGAGAAAATGTAAAAGGCAAAGAAAGTCACAGAACTTTAAGGCCAAAATTTTGGGTAAGATAAAGAAAAAGCCAGCAATAAACCAAGGACTATTTAGAAAAGAGTCAAAAGCTCTGGGCCTTCCCCACCTTTTTCTTAGAATGGGCAAGCT